GGGCAAATGAAGTGACCCAAGCTTTAACTGCGATCTGGTCAGAAGAAACAGAGATCAGGATAGCATACAAAGAAATAAAATATTTTGTATAATATACTACGACAGCATGGCATTAGAAAATTTCTAAGTATTGCAATGTAATTTTGTTGTAATAAATATTGGGGTATTTATAAAACAAAAAAGGAATTCAACATAAATTTCTCAAAAACCTGTCTCAGAGTGAATTAAACCACAAGGATGAAAATATGATTGTCTCGGAAACCGCGTGCAGCGCTCATGCAAAAGCGAAGGTAAACTTTAAACTGATTTTTAAACATATACTAGATAAGCATGAAAAGAAATAATAATACAAATTGCAAAGCTTGCTAAGATTTTTTTTTTCCTGTGACAGGGTAAAAGTAAAAATATTTTAGCAAAACTTTAACCCCCTGCATTATAATGTCCATACAGAATTTAAAGTCAGAAAAAGCCTTATTTTAATATAGCTGATTAGTGATGTAAGAATTGGATGTGAATAACATGCAATGTTGGTATTAATATTACACATCATCAAGCCTTATTATATACAGCAATTTTTCGAATTCAGTACAACAAGAGGTATGCACCTCGCGCTTTCATTCAGTGCTGGTACCAGTTTTTACAGCAGTGGAAAACCAACACCTTGAGTAACTGCACTTTTGGTACTTTCTTGAAGTACCAAATGTACTGTAAGGTAGCTGGTGCAGTGGAAACGCACTCTTTAAAGAGAATGCAGAATTATGGGATGCTTGAGACACTGGGGAAAAGCAGGAGCGCTTGTTTTGATCCAGCTGATATAATACAATGCAGAAGAACCGTTGTAAATTAGAAATGAGATAGAAGTGTGAATCAAGATCGTATATTGTTTACAATTAATTGTGCAGCCCTATTCCACAGTTATTTTTTTCTCTGTATACTACTTTATGTAAAGTGTGTATTCTTCATATTACTGGAAATTTGGTAGTAATGATTCCATTCCATATTGGCAGAGCACATTTTACTCATTAAAACAAAATAGAATTAAATGTAAAAACAATATTTATAAAAATATTCAATAAAAATTATACTTTACTTAGGGGTTTGTGGGTGAGAATACTATGCCTGTCAAAGTCACTATTTCAAATGGACAGAGTAGGCCCTTCAGCAAGGCCCCTAACCCCCGATTGGACCCTTTAGCAAGGCCCCTAACCCCCGATTGGGCCCTACAGCAAGGCCCTTAACCCCCAGTTGCCCTTGCTTTCTAAGCAGTACTTGGCTTTGGAGAAAATTTCCTGCTAAAAAAAACTGAATGTTAAATGAATGCTAAATGTTAAAATAACACTGTAATTTCTATTAAAACCAAACAAAAGCTGATTTCTGCACGGAGTGTACAGGATGACTGGCTTTGGGAGAATGCCTGGACACCTGGAGATGGGGACACACTGACCAGAACATTTTTAGAAAGCTATTTCTTGAACACAGCTATGAAAGTGTCCATGACACACTCCGGTAAATCCCAGCAGTGCCTCGTGTGCGCTGTCGCTGTTAGGGGGTGACGCAAAGTCACACTAGTGTCCTTCTGCGTGCCCGTCACACTTTTGAAGAGGCATTTCTTAGTTAAATACATTATATATACACAGCACATCTGTATATATATGACCCTGCATCTGTACCATCCTTTAAAAACAACCAAGGCTCGGTAGCTACCGCAATCCCATCTGCATATATCAAACCAAAATATTATACAAATGATATATCATAAAAACTAAGCAATGGCCATTTACAGTATCCATCAATTTTCCAACTGCTGATCCACTACAGGGTGATGAGGTGACAGCATTTTCTAACCAAAAGATTTCATTAACCATGGTAAGAATTCATAATACGTATTGTTTAGGGCCGATTAGATAAACAGCAGCTTCCTGTAGCGCACGTTTGTCTGCATCTCAATGAATCCTGCTGCCTGCCATCTCTGCTTCTCCCTGGAGTGTAAAATGCACTGACTCAGCCCTGTGGAAGCGATATCAGTTAAAGCTTCAAGCAAATAGGCTGTGAACTGAGTAAACAGCGGTCACACGTCTCCGCTGCATTCCCATTACATGCCAGTTAACCCCGGTAAAAGGTCCTCCCGTCGAACAAAGACTCCTCCATCCCTTTCACCTCCCTTGCTCCTGTCCCCGTTCCTCCTGGTCTCCCGCCCAGTAATGCTGCTCAGTGGCGTCCGTAAAATGCAAGCTAAGAGGATCACAAAAGCCTCATATGTTAAGCACTAATGTGATGCGAGCTCTGTGTGTATGGAGTGGGGTCAATGTCGCTATTCAGTTTAGTTTTCAAGGGCATGAGAGAGAAAATGGCCACCAGGTATGATCCATTACCTTCATCTGAAACAGAGGTGTAAGCCCGTATCGCCTGCCCACAGCTCCCAATTAAAATGAAGGCTGGGCAGGCTGCTACAGCTCGCCACTGCTTATAATGAACAGCGATGCCTCTAAACGGCAGCGATAAAAGCTGTCACTCATTCTTCCATTAATTGTGACACCTCAGATAAGAAGCCAATCAAAGACCAGCAACAGGCAGCTGCAAACAAATTAGGGCTGGGACGATTATTCGACGTAATCGACAATGTCGATTACAAAAATGCATCGACGTGGAATTTTAGTGTGGACATGTTGTGTAAAACTACGTAGATGTTTTGTGATTGCAATGCAAGTGATAAGCTAAACATATTGTAAGGGAAAGTACTTTACCCCCTCAGGAGCACGTTAACACTGTCCTTTAAGAATCACGCAATAAAACAGTCTGCTAATAACTGAACTTTACTGTTCACCTGATGATCTCTTTGCCACTCGAGAGCTACAATATTTTATTTATTGGACCTGCGGCATGGTTTTCTTTTACAATACAAAGTTATTCCGCTAATTATAGACTGAATTCCGATATAGTTTTGTCTAATATCGCCGGTGCCGGCAGTGCCGCACTATTTTGTAAGGCATGCACTGGCCAATCATGTAGCACTTCTCTCATCAATATTAATGAGACATCTCCTACCACCCTGCAAAAAGGAAATTTGCTGCCCGCCCCCCACACACAAGGCAACATGGCTGCGTCTACCAGCAGAGCTCCAGAGACTCTGGAGAAACACGCGGCAAGAAAGGCTCGTGCGCGATCTTCCAAAGTTTGGGAAAACTTCAGTCATGACACCTTTCTGCACCTCTACTGTAGCTGATGTTAATGATGCTGTTTCAGCCGTTTTATATTTTCTGTTTAGTTATTCTGTCACGTAAGAGTGAGACAAATGACTCTTACACACACTTTATGACTCTTACACACTGCAGCCTAAATCGTTCCTTGCTCACTGAAGTAAGCTTAACTATAAGCTACCTTTGCTAGTGTTTGTTAAAAAAATGTTTCTCTAGTTATGGAATCATTCCATGCTTTAGCATCTATTTCAAAATTAAAGTGAAATTGGTGTACTGAAATAATTAGAAATCCCATTGAATCTCTTAAGATTTGCCTTTTTTGTTAATAATGCTCTAATGTTTAAGAAATGTTTTAATCAATTGAAATGTTAATGAGAATTTCAGATTTGTGTGTGTGTGGGGGAGAGGGCGAATTGTATTAAATGACTAAGTTGAAAATAATTGCTTATCAATAAATTTATTATCAGATCAATCAAAAAATTAGTTGTCAGATTAGTCGAATAATCAAAAAAAAAACAATTGCTAGATTAATAATTTAAAGAATAATCGTTTGGGGCAGCACTAAAACGAACACTGGTGCCCTGGGCGCATGCATGAGTGAGGAACGTGGGTGTATGAGAGGGTTGATGCAGGAAAGTGCGCATGTGCACACGAGACGCATGCTGTGGCAGTCTGGGAACCCAAACTCGCTCTCCCCCAAAGAAGCTGCAGTTTGGTATTTATTAAACTCCCTGCCTGTCAGATAGGCACCTGACAGAAGTGTTCCGAGAGGAGGCTCAAGAACAGCTGCACGGCGGTCCCCCTGCTGGCCGAGATTTGCATAATCACGGTAACACCCCGAAACGCCTGGCCCGGTTCCCGCACGAAGCCGTGTCAATCACTGTCAGGCCACATAGAAAAAGCCAGCAGCTGCGATACAGCGGACCCAGCCTGCACATTTCACCTGGAGGCTGCCCTACACAGACCATAAGGAGCCAAGGATGGTTAGCTGAGGCAAACAGCTAAGCCAAAACATGGCCAGATAACCAAAAACCACAGGGGGACTAACCACATTTCACTGTTAGCTAATAATGAATTACATTTTAGCATTAAAACTTCTGCAATATGTACTTCAGATTGATTATAAATGGACACTGGAGGGATTTCTCCAAAACCTAACTTTTAAATCCATAAAGACAAACAGGGCAGGAAGCTAATAACTCATATCCGGCCATTAAATAATGTTACTATCAAGAAAATATCTGTCGTACTTTGCTATGAATGGACATTATAAGTCTAAAGGAAAAAAAAGCACAAAATATTCATTTGATTACCATCTTGCTAAATTGCATTAGAAGCAGACTGATGCGAATGTTTTATTTGTGAATCTCAACTTGAGAATTTCAAAGTGTCTCTTGATTCAATACGGCGGCCGAGTAAAAGCCACAGTACTCAGATACATTACAGAACGCTGGCCAGGTTTTGGTGCAGGATATTTCAAAGTAGGAGAGCAAGACATGCAACTCAGATAGCTGGTCCAGGACTGAGAAATGGGAGACTGAATTATAGGGAACCCTGAGATTCAGCAAAAGAAGTTTCTTTTTTCTTTCTTTGTTTTTTAATCGATAAGAAAGATGATGTTTATATCACTCAGGTGGAGCACATCTAAGTAACAGTGCTGGTTAATGACCTAGGCTAATGCTTTCCTAAATTAATGCACAAGCACATCATCTTTAGTAGAAATGATACAATACTCAGAACTTCCATAGTCACTATGTCAGTGTAAAAGCATGTCTGAGAAGGCAGGGGAGGTGGGGGACTTACCTGGCGTAGAGTTCGGGCCACCAGGCTCTCCAACACAGGCCCACGATCCTCATGGAGAAGATGCACTTCATCAAGGATCAGCAGTCGCACAATCTGGGAGAGCGCGACATCCCCCACACTCTTCCTGGTCACGACGTCCCATTTCTCAGGGGTCGTCACCAGCATCTACAGGAAACCAGGGAGAATGTCACGCAAGACACTGACATGTAACAAACACAGACTGACAACGCGCAACAATGTTCAGTGGAACATACATGGCACATGCTTAAATTAGAATTATCTACCACAAAAAGTTATATCCAAATTCTCACAGTTCCAAGAAACTAATTAGGATGCTGTCTTCTGATAGGCTAAAACTGGGGCTCTTGTCTGTTAAATCAGATTAAAATCAGAATTTCCATGGTTTCCAGGGAAAAACACAAATCGGGATCCTGTCAATGTTCACAAAGACAGAAAATGAGGATTCTCACAGCGGTAAGACAGAAAAATAAGGATTGTCACACCAGACGGTCTAAAATAAGGATCCTTGCAAGCCTCAGGATAAGCTCACAAACTCCAGTGTTACACCAGCTGAAAACAAAACTCCGACTGTTAATGAATCAGGCAGCAGAATCGATGCCAAACCGTAAGAATCCCTGTCACCTGTCAGGAAGAGGACTCCCTGCGTGAGCAGGGCTTTATTTCCTGCTCGTCGTTACACAACGTGCCGTTTAGAGTGTTTGTCCGAAGATCCTGGAAGTGTCACCTAAAACGGGGGTTAGCTTTAACAATCACGGCTTCGTACTTCCTGTCGCTTAACATGTCAGTCACGGCCTCCCTAGGCACACCTTTATTTTCTCTTTATAAATAAACAAATATCTATTTTTAAAGAAGCCCCAGAACTCTGACAGCAGTGTGCCCCAGGCCTACGTGCACAAGATGCCTTTGTTGTAGTGATGGTTCCCCGTGTGGCCATTTTGTCACCACGTTTCTGTTGAGTGGGAAAACAGCGCTCGGCGAGTGAGATTCGGCAAGTCGCACCGAGCGCCGTGAGTGACATCCATTCACACTCTGATCACAGCACTCACAGACAAGATCGATCCTGGGGTCCTGTGCTCGCCGCTCATCTCTCTGCTCTAATAGAAAGCAGAGTGTTGGAAATGACATTCCCCACATTAGCATGGAAAGCCGTTTTAGAGGCTGGGCGATTCAATCTGCTCCTGAGTCTTTTTTTTTGCCGGAGATTCTGCAAGTGCCGAATATGTGGTCTACAGAGAAGGGGAACCACGACCCAGTCCTGCACACAAGGCCACACATTCACGAGCACAAACACACAACCAAAAACAGGATTAAAAAAAAAAAAAAAACGATTAAAAACAACAAACGTGCACGGAAGAATGTGGGAGAACATAAGTAAGAAGAGAGACACACGCATGTGGACATTCACTCGGCACACATGACGACGCACCGTGATGGACATATCACACACACGACACATGGGTTCATAGTCAGCATCGATGACATTCCTGATAAAACAGGAGTGACAGTGCCATTTCTTCATTCTGCACAAAGATGATGCAAAACAAGCCATTGTCACTGAAGAGAAGTAGCATCATATTCCCAAGAGGGGAATTATGTTATAGTTCCTATGAACTTGTAAGTTGTGCCCTGGTAAGATGATCTGAACAGACACCGCATGTGTTTCTTTCAAGTATAACCTGTAAATTGTCCTATTTTTCAGGTAACCAAATTACATTGGATATTAATACAACACTATACTTTAGAATAGGTTACAGCAGATTTGCATCCAGATGTGTGCAGCTGGTTTTGGAAGAGCAGTGTTTAGATGGCAAAAGTAAAACAACACATAGGATATGTATTTATTTAGGTGTGTAGATGGCTTGAGTACCGCTGCCTCTTTCTGCAGTCGGTGGTGGTGGGGGGTGATTTCCGTTTCCTTGCCACTAAACCCAAGGGTGAGTGAGCGGGTGAACCAATAGCGCAGGGCTCCTAGAAGCTGACAGGTCACAGACACCTCCTGTCAGGATCCACATTACTCAGAGCTTAGCTTTATCTTTTACTCATCTTCTGACTCCTGCTGTTATTAAAATAAAAGTGCTCTCACATGGAAACAGACAGCCACGAAGAGAGATGCAGACTGGTGTAGCTAAAGTAAATGTGCTTGAAATTCCCAGTGCATTATAAAGCACATAATCATTCTGTATGAATATAGCTTAGACAGAGCTTCCATTTGTGAATACAGAATCACAATAGACACTGGAAAGAACATTTAAGATGCAGAACAAGCTTCTTACCATCAGCAGTTGTTAATAAAAATAAAATAAAATTGAATATGCTCCCCAGTGTAGATTCCCCCACTGAGAGTGATGAAAATGACAGACATATTTCTGAGACAGGGCCAACACTAGCAAATACAAACATTCTCAAACAAATGACATCATCACTATCTTTTTGGCAGGTCACGTCAACACTACTGAGCACCGGTGTTCTGTGGCAGGTCACATCAATGCCCCTGAACACCACAATTCCGAAGCAGGTCACGTTTACACTACTGGACACCACCTTTCTGAGGCAGTCAGGTTGAGACATTTCAATTTTATTCATATTTTTTTCCAGGGTTTAGATCTATCCAAAAGCAACACAAAAAACAATCAGAAACATACACTGCTGCTCGATTTAGCACAACAGGTCGACTTAAAACAATTTTTGCAGAATATCTTAGCGTGGGAGGTGTGTCTTCCATCCTGTCCATGCATTTGAATAGTCACACTAACGCCCCAAAATAACTGGCCTGATTCATGATCTGATTGACTTCCAGTACAATCAGCTAACACCGCTCCTTAACCCACCCATAACACACACGGGGGACAGAATTCAAGCAAGGAACACATCACCCAAGACAACCTACATAACCGGGGATTGACATAACTGGTACGCAAGTACGCATTCAGCTTTTAAGGCGATACGCGCGGCAATCGATTGTTGCAACAGCGTAAATGCGTACGTGTTTTATGTGCATTTGTGCGAATATGACAAGAAATTACCGTGCATTTTAACCTTTATATGCTAATTCATACTTCATTTGTGGTATAGAGAGGTTAAAATGCACAGTAATTTGTTGTCATATCGGCGCAAATGCACATAAATACATACGCATCTGTGCTGTTACATTAATCGATTGCCGCACGTATCGCTTTTAAAGGTGAATGCGTACTTGCGTACCAGTTATGTCAATCCCTGTACATAACTATACATTTTATGTACATTGTGTCTATACCGCGCTAACCCATATATATATTTTTGCACAATCAAGCACCCACGTCGCATTGCCATTTGTAGTTTTTATCCATTTGCTGCTGTATGCAACCAAATTTCAATAACGTACATATGTCTACCTACACTGCCCTCTTTTCCTCCGCTGACACTCCCACACCCCAATTTTATCTGCAATTTCATCTTTGTTTTTGCTTCCCACCTCACCAGTATGTAGCTTGAAAACAATTTTCCATAAATTAATATACATTTTGCCTCCCACTTTATCGAGGCTCCTCTCCCCCTCTGTATTATTAACAGCTCCCCTTACTCCCCTCTTCCTAAATTGCATGCTCTTTTACAGAGAGCTACCTGCTCTCTAAGTGTTGTTATTTTACTGCAATTAAGCAGTGTTTTAGAAGAAAAACACAGCATTGAATAATTAATTGTCGGAGTGCCGTTCTCCCACCTGTCTTGTGAGTGGGAAAATTCCTCTCAAACCTCCTCAGTAAAAGCAGTTCATTAAATCCTCTCTAGTTTGCATTTAAATCAATCTGCAGCACCCATTAGAGACCAGCACTTTTATGGAAAATAAGCGCACAATGTTAATTAGGCTGCTGCTAATCTAAATGGAAGCCCCGGCATGCTGGTACCAGGCCAAAGTGCCCCCATTAATCACCAAAAACAATGTTACACGAACCACAATAGCTTTCCTTTCATTTGGCCGGGCAAGATCTTCGCTCTGTTCTTCGTGCTAGGAGGTGACTGCCCTCATACTTTATAATACTGAATGGGGGGGGGGGGGTAATGACAATGATAATGATGATAATAATAATGTTAATAAGTACAGGTTTTCCTGATTCTTGGAACTGCTGAAGGCCTCGGACTGAATGCGCTGCCATGAAATTTGGTATTAAAAGGTAGCCCCCTCTACCCCCCCCTCACCCCCCCCCGCCAGCACTGCTGCAGCTGGCAAAAGAGAGAAAATCCCATCATAATATGCAGAGGAAAAGGAAAAATGGAACGAACACTGTGAGGAAAGCGGGGGCAGTAATGCGTCCAGCCATGCAGAACGCTTAACAGAGCCTTAACAGCCCCCTCTGACGATATCTCCCCCGCCCCACAACTTATGGCATAATTACCCTGCCTTCGTCTGTCTGGGGGGCACTGCCCGGGGCACCCACTTGCTCACTTTGCCATTAGAAAACAAGCAAATATTTACCACCTTCCTTGACGATGCGAGACGAGGGGGTGGGGCAGTGGATGTTTAGTGAGCAGACGGTGCCGTCGGTGGTGTGCCCGTGTGTGTCACCATTTTGTTTTGTCTCCAGTTACCATGGTGACTGCAGTCGCCATAGAGAGGGTGCTCACTGTCCAGGCTTGTCAAGGCAACGCTGGTGAGAGCGTACACACAATGCTAACTTGCTTCTCAAGAACCATCAAAGGCGTGTGGGTGACAAACACCACTCATGCATCCCTGCCAGTGTTTAAAGTGGGACAGGGAGCCGTGATTACAGTATACAAAGGGAAAGTTTCTGGACTTAATCAGAAATTATACAAAACCCTGCTTGTTATGTTGGTTAGAACATGGGCATGTGTCTGCATTACTGACTAACTAGGTATGTGAAAATATAAGAACAGCCCCACCTCAAGACGTTCTGATAGGCGGCCATAAGATGGAAGGCTTTGTGTGTGAACAAGGTGGGCACCATGTTCACTGCCCCTGGCCCCGAAAAAGACATCCCACCCAGTGACACGTGGCCCCCGCTAATGCCGGCCTTTACCGCGCCTCTGAACCCCTGGACCTCGATCTGTTGGAAAGCCTAGCAACAACTGTTCCGACCATCCAAAACAATTATCACAATATCTAAGGGGGTGTGTTTTTTTTCGCACAGCAGATGCCACAAACACTG